GATGAACTTAATTGGACGAAGAAGAGCATATTCTTTTAGCTACCTGGGTGAAACTCAACCTTTGACACAACCTCGATGTCATGCATATAGAGAAAAATATATGACAACATTCTTGGAACGTTGCTTAGCATTGATGGAAAGAACAAGGACACTGAAAAAGCTCGTCAAGATTTGGAAGATCTGCACATAAGGACAGAGTTGCACCTTCAACAGTGGGGTGATTCTTATGTAAAGCCCCCCCCCCCCCGGGCCCGCGCGTGGTACGCATTATCACCAAAAAAGAGACAAGAATTTTATGATTTTCTGAAATCAGTGAAGTATCCTGATGGTTATGCAGGTAACATCTCAAGATTTGTAAGCACTAAAGATGGAAAAGTATCAGGTCTAAAAATTCATGATTGTCATGTTCTCCTACAACGACTTATTCCAATAGGAATACGTGGGTTTCTTGATAAATAAATATGTACTGCTTTGTTTGAGTTAGGCAACTACTTTCAACAATTATGTTCTAAGACATTGAGGATTAAAGATTTGGATGCATCACAAGATCGAATTGTTTTAAATGGCTCTAGGTTGTCGACCCAAAGTCTTATCTACACCTGCAACTACACATTAGGAGGTTCAATCCCCCATCACCGACATCGACCATCAGTAGTCCACATACTATAGCTAGCAGTACAAGTATGATTTCATTTGTATTAGACACTTTTAAAATATTTTCTCTATTCATCTATTATATTTTGGTAATGTCATGGTCGACCTCAAGGAAAGGGTGAGATCCTACACGAGGAAATGTTGTAGAGAAGATGGTGGAGGCAAATGGGAAACTGCGTGCTAAGATCCCTAATGGTGTGAATTTCCCAGTCAGAGAAAATGCACAACATTGCATTAATGAGATGAGAGCCTTAGCTAGGGTTTTCGTCTCAATTATTGTAACCCTATGGAATGATTTATTTGATGACATGTGTGCCCCTATCATTGCACGTCTCCGGGTAATTATACTTATTTATTATATTTATTATTTATATTTTTTTGTTCAAAATAATGTACTATTTTTTTGTACAGACAAGGTTTGACACTATCGGATACGATGAGTCAAAAAATGTTTAGAAAAACATTGAAGCTAAGTTTGCTTGTTTGTATAGTGACCATCATTCTAAGATGCACAGTCACTATAAACAATTGGTGAAGGTTGGTCTGGACCCAAAAAATGAGTCCTACAAACAAGTTAGTACGGATGATTGGTATTATATAATCGAGCATATATTCAAGAGTCCAGAATTTCAAGTAAAAACTTGATATTTTATCACTTATGTTGATGGTTTTTATTTACAATCGGATATTGTCCCTACACTAACCTATATTAAATTTTTTATGTAGAAACGATCTAAAATAAATTCTACAAATTGTGCCAAGCTACCTTACAATCATGCTATGGGTTCCAAATCTTTTCCATTTGCAATGCATGTTATGGTTAAGTGTTTTAACTTATACTTTTTTTGTATGTTATCTTATTTAAGGTGTTGTAACTATACAATTTTTTAAAACAGAAAGATCTCGAGACCCAGGAGCCACTTCATTTTGTAGATCTTTTTCGTGAATCTCACTTTAACAAGAAGTCGAATAAATGGATATCACAAGAAACTGAGTCTTGATACGTAAGTATAAAAATTTTCTTGATGTTATTGTATTTGAGATTTATAAGGTTGATAAGTTTCGTTTTGTGAACACTTTATCAATTATTTTTTAAAATTTTAGAACCAAATGAAGGAATTAAGAGACAAGTCCACATAAGATGGTGAATCACATATGTCTAAGGAGAAGATTACAAACATCGTCCTTGACTGCAAGTCTGGTTATAAGAGAGGTTATGAGGTTGGATCGAAACCTTCTTCAAAAAAGACGTCTAAAACTATTGCAAATGAAGAAGAGGTGACAAGTTTGAAGATAGAGTTGGATGAAACCAAGAAAAAAATTCCAGCAAATGGAGAAGTGGTAAGAAATGATGATGCAACAAATGACAGAGGTGAGGTTAGCAGTGCAGCGTGGTGGGGGCATTGGGGAGCCAAGCAATTCAACTTTATCTTGGTAAGCTATTTTATCTATGGACTTATGTTTTTTTTTTTTGGCTAATATCATATACTTAGTCAAATATTAATTTATTAACCCATAAACTCAAAATTTATATATTTTTTCTTGTACTTCTTATCTATAATGCATTAATGAGTTTTTGTGTTTGTCACAGATTGAAGATGGATTGTAAATAGCTTTTTTTGGATACCCAGACATTTTTTCTTTTAAATATTTAAGATATTTTGTTGTTGGGATTTTAGATGTTGGGATATTGGATGTTGAAAATTTTGGATATTGTTTGATGTCATTGAAATTTGTTGGACGTTATTTTATATTATGAGTAATATATTAATGTTTTAGTAATTATGATGTGTTTTTATAGATTATCTATTGCCATAGGTATATGATTGAAATTGGTTGAAATGTTTTTGAGTTGGTATAAGTGTTTTTAAATTGTGATAGGGCCAAATGGAATTTAATCATGTTCATTTTTTGGGCAACGAAAATAAGTCGTCGCTAAAACATTGTTCATCATTTTGGCGATGAAAAAAATTCCTTGCTAAAATGCTGATTGACTTTTTGGGAGACAAATATATTTGTCGCCAATATTTTGTGTACTTATTTTTAGCAAGTAAATAGAGACGGTCGCTAAAGTTTTTTACATTTTGCGATGAATATAATCGTTGCTAAAGATTTTATGTGGTTAAAATAATTTAATTTTTGGCGACGAACAAAACATTGGTGACGAAATAAGAACATGTTTAGCAACAAGATTATGGTCACCTATTGTGTATTTTTGGTAACGAAATTTTTGTTGTCGCTGAAAACTTTCTCAGACGAGCCTAAAGCAACAAAATGATAACGAAATGAGTTCGTCATCAAAAATTTTTGACGACAAAATTTATACATTTTGCGATGAGTCAATTCGTCGCTAAAAACAAATTCATTGTAGAGTTGTGTCAAATGAGACAACGTCTCCAAAGTGACTATAGTCAATAATCATTTTAAAGTCAGTCCAAAAAATATTTGTAATTTGCTTCTCAACATCCAACTGGATACCATAATAAAATGATGGATTTTTAACCGCTTTTAACTGAAAATAATTCAGCAAACTATCAGCTTTACTATATCTCAACTCTTGTTGCCTCCTATCACGGATGTAATTTTTTTGATCTTGCCGAGTGAACTCCAAATTTTCCCTTCCACCTGCTTGGGTACTCATAAGTTCATATGAATCTTTAAGTAATATCCCACAATCCGCTGTCATGTCAATGTGAATGTCTTGCATAGTAAAAATTTTCTTTGGGATGGCATCATATACACACATTCCTTAAAGTGCAATGGATGATTGTGATCATCCTCCTATTTGACTACGATAAATTTTTCAATTTTCCAATTGAGGGATATGCACATGTGAGTTGGACATTTGGTTCATATCTCGGCTCGCGACTTTATTACTTTTCAATCCCTTTTATCCACATCTCTTTGTCCCTCTTTGTAACAAACATATTTTCTATAAATCATAATCTGGTCTTTCTTATTTTTATTGTGATAGTCTTTTCTCACACTAAATCCAACCAAAACTTCATATTTGTTATAAAACTCATAAGCATCTTCATTCGAGTCAAACTGCATACCAATACTTTGAGTGTTCACAATTTCATTAACAACAACGGATTCCATTATAGATGTCAGTACCTGCAAAAAGAAATTGACTAACTAGTATATTAACACTAAAACAAGCTTCAATGCATTTTTTTTTTTTGAACAGTATGTAACATGGAGAAGGTGGCGATAAGATTTAAACCCACGATCAATATAAATTAACAACAAACCAAAACATCACAGTTAAATCATATCATAAAAATTAATAATTATCAAAGAAATCAATAAAACAATCAAATATTCATATTTTTTTAAAATTTAGGTCAAGAAAAATCCAACTAATAAAATTATAAATTTGTGGGTGTGCATGTATGTTTGTGTGTAGGTGTGTGTTTATACGTTTATACATTTATTCACTTAAAAATATTCAAAATGGACATAAGAATACTCAAAATGGACAAAGTAGATGAATTACAAAACCAAACATTACCTTTGTGAATAAACAAATCTTGCTTCATTTCTTGGAAAAGGTAAGAGGAAAATTTGAATTTTTTTGTTCCAGCGTGCACCAAGAATCGCAAAACCGGTTGTTTGTTTTTGGTGAAGGAGTGCGCCAAGAATGGCGCCAAATCAAACTTTTGGAACTGTTCAAGAGTAATTGTATCAGGGTCGTTTAACGAGCAAAAAAAAAAAAAACAGAGTGCAAAACAGCACCGTTTTGGGCGAACAGCCGCCATATTATTCTTAGGAAAAAACAGATGAGCCGGATCCCGTATAGCTCTCAAAAGACCATTGCCTTCTTCTTCGAATTTTTTCGAGTTCCACGTTGATTGGGTCCGTGTTTTGGTGCTCAAACCGAACCTCAAACCAGGCCGGTTAAGCTTGATAACCGTTTAAAAGTCACTAAACTGGCCGATTCTTTATGAAACCGTTCAATCCGGACGAGTTGGGACAAATCGGGCGGGTAATTAAAAATACTATAAAAACCAGATTTTGGGCATTTTTGCCCTAGTTACTTCTGATCTGAAGCAGTCACGCCTCTCCTCTGCCTCTGTCGAACGGATCCTTGACGACGAAGACTTAACTCAAGTACAAGCTTAAGCCTCAACCAGCCCCTCTCTCTCTCTCGGCCCTGCGATCTGCAATTGTGATATCCTGGTAGGGGAAGGCAAAAAAAGGAACTAAGACCTCTCTTCATTGACGATTTGGCTTCAATCACTCAGTTGAGTCTGCGTTTCCTTCACTTGACACAGCACTAAGACTCAAAATTTATACACAACCAAGTCAAAAATAGTAGATTAACATGGACTCAATGAAGCTTATCAACCGCTATTTCTGCTTCTTAACGGCTTGGTTCCATCGGAAACCTGTGAAGAACCATATGGTTTTATGCCCTGTAGCAACACTATCGTCGGAAATATATTCCTCATCCTCGTGTATGGGTATTTGATTTTCTCTGTGGCGAAGTATTTTTCGGATGGAAGTGAAGTTCTACTGGAAATTCTTGGCCCCGGCATTGTTGGTGGGCTCATCTTGCCGGTGCTCAGTTCTCTTTCCAATGTTGTTATCGTTCTAGCTATTCTCTCTCTCTCTCTGTTAATCTACTATTTTAGACTAGTTATGTATAAATTTTGGGTCAATTTCAATATTAATCACATTATCAATTTTAGATTTTGATATCCAACTAACAAGCATCTCTACTAACGTTGTATTTTGATGTGGAAATATAAATTTCATTTGTACTTAGGCCGTTAATCAAACTGAGTTACTTGTGCTTGGCTTGAGTTTGGCTCGGGTTCAGTTCGTTCAGGTTTGATTCGTTTTCTAAACGAACTCGAACTTGAACAAGTTTTTAAACTCGTCTAACAAATAAATCTTATAAGTTCAATTCAAACTCAATAATTTCGGCTCGTTTATATACAAATACTCGGGCTCGGCTTGGACTCGACTTGGATTCGGCTCGTTTAAGAATTTTTAAAGCTCAATTAAAAAATAAACTTTTCAAACTAGACTCATGTTCGTTCGACTAACAGTCCTATTTGCACTAGAACTTAATAAATCAGTAGTTACATACTTAACAAACACTTTAGTTGATTAAATCCAGTACCAACTATTTGAAGAATGTTCATGTAATTTGACTAAGTTTGAGAACTTCAATTTACAAGTTGGATTGGAAATTGAATACATTGGATATATGTTTGATGATTTTGGGGTTTTTATTTGATTCAATATCCATTAAGCATGCTATTTTCTTAATTATTGTATTTTTTTTAGCCCATTTATTATTATTATTATTTATTTATTATTATTTTACTAGTCCGACCAGTAATTCAACAATTGAACTAGTGATTCATTGACCCGATCCCTTTGTCGGTTTAATATTCGGGCCGAATTTTAAACCTATGGGTCCACCAACTCTTAAGCTAATCAACTAGGTCAGCTAAATAGAAGAAGGTGATAGCCGTTTTAAAACAATATAAATAGAGGAATGTGATAAATAACTAGCACTCATACCTTTGAAGTCATGGAAACTGCAGCAATTTGAGGATACCAAAATTAAGTCAATGACATCTTAGACCTAGTTAAAATGATCATCAAATGGTATCTTTTGTCATGCACAACTTCTATATCTGATCTAACCATGGCCTTGATCTAGAAGAGTTTGAGTGGAAATTTGAATATTAATCAAACTTAAAAGGATAAAATATAGTAAGAGTCTCTAAAGTTATTAATCGAGACTACTTTTTAAAAAGATAAAATATTAATCGAGACTACTTTTTAAAATCTAAGTTATATTGTTTAAAGATAAAGTTGTTTGAGGTAAATTTATAAATTTTTTTATACTTGTTTCTATATTCTTATGTTGGAGGAGACGTCCAATAAAATTAGAGCGATATGAAAAAAATTAGTATAATCCTGTATAAAGATAACATATACAAATTGGTGGGGTCAACATTTTTGGGGCAGTTTTGTCAGCCTCTGGATATCCCTATACTTAGAAAAGGATTTTAATTAGGCTAATACCTTAAGAAATTTCGCCATTGCGTGTAAGACCCGATGAACCTTTTCGTTTGTTCCTTGCCGTCACCTCCCTCTCGGAACTAACTACTAAGCTACTTTGTCCAATCACAAACCCCTGTGTATCTCCATTAAACTACCGTTAATGCCATTTTCTCAGCATTTGTTATGCAAATGACATCATGTTAAGACAGTATAGATCAACCATGTCATTGTGCCTGTCGTGTTAAAATGTGCTCAATACGGGCACGACTAATTTGTAATCGTGTATAAATATGTTTGCATTGTGTGAACAAACATGTCAAAACACGTCATCTGGGTCTCAAATATTACCCATCTTTGTCCAAGGTGAACAAACAAGTTTCCAGTTCACTTCAGTTAGATTGTGGTCCCTCTATCTATCCAAATTCATGTTGAACATGAAATTTAGCTTTATTTTTGCAGTAAGAATGGTGAGAAAATAATGGATAAGGCTATGGTACTAACAGAAATATTGTATCAAAAATTATATTTTTTTTATGAGAAAAGTAATCGCTATCCATTAAGTTATAATTAAATGAGATTAAGTTGCGACAAAAAATAAAAAAATAGGATGGACAGTTCAATGTTATAATCGATTCCAACTAGCTGCATTTTGGTGTAACCTAACCAAAATGAACTGTAGTCTTAACCCTTATTTTGTAATAAGTTCAACATAAACCACAAAAACACTTTTTGATATCGTAATTTTGTCCATTATTATTATTGAAACTTGGAAATCTAACCTAATTTGTAGACTAAATAATGACATAGTCCAATAACGGTATTGTAACTAGAATTGTTATTAAATTTTTTTCATGAGTAATATTATTCAGATCTAATATGTTGACCTAATCGACTATATATAACTATTGGATTGACAATAAATCTCATTAAACATTGACATTTAATGCTAATCCAATTGTTATTATCAATTAGATCATCAAATTAAGTCCAATTAGCATTATTTTTGTTTTATTGGTACCATATCAATTGATGCTTGATACATTAGTAAGTTAAAAACATGGGGGTAATTCCAAAGTTTATTCCTCAATTATTTTTGGTTTGATATTAAAGGAGGACAGGGTATTGATTTGTAGTAAAATTCATAACTATGGGTATTATGATATAAAAAGGACCAACCCAATCTTCTATAATCCACCTCACAACCCACCCTCTCACTCCATCTCCCTTCCCTCTCTCACCTCTCCATCGTTTCCTCCATTGGAGAGAAAAAAAAAAAAAACCCCACCATGGACAGAGAGCAAGAAGAAATGCAATTCTTAGGTCTCTTCGGCATCTACACAGAAGCCTTCAAGATCATCTTCAGATGGAGAAGAATCTTTAGCCAAATCACCCTATCTCTGGTCCTCCCTCTCTCCTTCATCTTCCTCGCTCATATCGAAGTTGCACACTTAATTCTCTCAAAAATCTTCCACCTCGAATTTATGTTACATAGATCACCACCAGACAGTCGAAGATTCAAAAGAGTCTCCGATGTTATATCATCAGAGTGGGTCTATTTCTGGATTTTCAAGTTCGTTTACTTCACCTTCCTCCTCGTTTTCTCTCTCCTCTCCACTTCTGCGGTGGTTTACACCGTCGCCTCCGTATACACAGCTCGTGAAGTGACTTTCAAGAAGGTCATGAGCGTTGTACCCAAGGTCTGGAAGAGACTCATGGTCACTTTTCTTTGCACTTTCGTCGCATTATTTGCGTATAACTTCGTTGCAGGTCTAATACTCTACTTCATCCTGGATCTCATTGACTCCAATGCTGGTGTGATAATTTTCTACATACTTTTGGTCTGTTACATAGTTGGGTTTATTTATGTGACCATTATTTGGCAGTTGGCTAGCGTTGTATCAGTTTTAGAAGAATCATATGGATTCAAAGCCATGATCAAGAGCAAGGAACTGATAAAGGGAAAGATGTGGATCGCCATTGTTATCTTCTTCAAGCTCAATTTCTCTTTCTTCGCCATACAGTATGTGTTTGAATATTTTGTTGTTCGCCGATGGACATTGGAGAGGTTTGAGTACAGATTTGGAGTTGGGTTATTGTGTTTCTTCTTGCTTTTAAAGTTGATTCTCTTCGGGTTGGTGATTCAAACTATAATCTACTTCGTCTGCAAATCTTACCACCATGAAAACATCGATAAGTCAACGCTGTCCGATCATCTTGAGGTTTATCTGGGAGAGTATGAGCCTTTGAAAGCAAAGGATATTCAGCTTGAGCAATATGAAGTCTGATCAATGATCATAGACTTTTACTGGGAATAAGATTTATCACAGTTGTGGTTCAATCATTATGTAAGATAAAGATTGGATATTCCAGAATATAATCATATTTAATTGCAAGGTTTGCCATTTTTTGTTTTGTTTTTGTTGTATTATACATACTAGGCCTGCACACGGTTACCTATGTGAATTTCACATAAATGTTTTGAAGCTTAAATCACGGTTATTAGTGATGTAAAATATTTTAAAATCATATTTTAGGAACTATTATACATAATTCATACATACATATAATTATTTTTTTATTTTGACACAAAAAACTAAAAATCACTCCAAATGGATCTTTCTAGCTTTTTTAGTTTTTTAAAAAAAAACACCCCTAATGGTTTTATAAGACTTTTTTAATTTTGATTTTTTTGAGAAATTTTTCAAACCACAGTTTTTCATCTAAAAAAGTCAGCTCTAAAGAGACTCATTGTGTGATTATTTGGAAGAAATGAAATGTAATTGTGAAATTTTGAGTTGAGCTAATTTAATAAGATCAAAAATGGAGTTATGAATAGTTATTTAAGAAAAAATAAAGAATATTATAGACATTTCATAACTCAACAACCTAAATTCTAGTGTTGGGTCACTTGTCTTTTATTTCCAAAATTTTAAATTTGTTTTATAGTCTTACAAAATTTAGGGGACTTTTTGTCAACCTCTTGATGTCCACATCCTACAAGAAAAATTGAGCATGTTGCACTCACCCAGTAGCTGTAATGTTGACTTGGAAAAAAGACCTGCCGTTTCCTCCTTGCTGTTGCCGCCCTCTTATGGTAAAATACAATTTTATTCCTCCAAATATGTGTTTAGTGTTTAGTGATTATTTAATTCTCAATCTTTCAATTATATCTATTTGAGCTCTATGGTTTCTAATTTGTATCTACATTATCCAATTCCAAACGTTCATCAAAAAATCGTGACGGTTGTGATCACGCGCCAATCACGTAATTCCTAACTTTGTGTTTATTTGATCCAACGCGATTGCCGCATGACTAGAAGCGTTAACAATTTTTCGAAGGACGTTTGTGATTAGAGTACATAGATGTAAACTAGAAATATTAGGGACCAAATAGATATAATTAGAAGATTGAGGACCAAATAAACATTGCATACATACTTTAGGGATTAAAAGTATATCTTACGCTTGAGGACCAAATAGATATTATTTTGTTTCACTCACCACTATTATCTTTTTTAATTTTCTAATAAAGCGAATGTAAATTAAAATATAATTTCCATATTATGAAGGAAAGGCATATTCAAGCTCAATTTCTCTTTTTTGTTTTGTTTATTTATTTTTTTTTTTGGTGATTTTGTTGTATTATATATACTAGACGGCCTGCACACGGTTACCTATGTGAATTTCACATAAAAGAATGAGTTAGGTGGGATTATTCGGAAGAAATGAAAGGTAATTGTGACATTGTGGTTGTGGCTGTGACTGTTTAGAGTAAGCTTAAAAGGATAGTTTTTAAGGGGTATTGGAGTAAAATAAGTGAAATATGTTTAGACTTTAGTTTTTTTACCAATTTATGCAGCAGTTTTTTTTTTACCTAAAAAGACTTATTTAAGAAATTAATTTTATGCGTTTTTTTTCTAACTTTTTAGAATTTTTTGGTGAATCCCACATAATTTTTAAGTTCATTATATTTATTAAATATTATTAGTGATGTAAAAAATTTTAAAATTCATATTTTAGGTACTATTATATATAATCTATGAGTAATGTTATATTGACTTAAAAATTAGACTTGATAATCACGACTATTGAATAAGTAGTAAGTTTCAATAAATATTAGGACTCACAGTGAAATAAATAATTGTAATTATCAAATTTAGTTTTTAAATCAATGAAATTATTTTCTGATTAGAGAGCACAAGAAGAAATGCAATGTTAATTTAGGCCTCTTTGGCATCTACACAAAAGCCACCATGATCATCCTCAGATGGGGAAAAATCTTCAACCAAATCACCCTAGCATTGGTCCTCTCTCTCCCTCCTTCATCTTCCTCTATTGATGTGTCTTGCATTCAATATTTATTTGGACTCTAGTTGAAAGTGACTTTCATTGGAGAATACTTGTTGGACTTTAAATAGGAGAAATATGTTTTGTTCTACATGGGCTTTTGAGTAAATGCCAGGCTAAAAGAGTTGGAGCAATGGTTATAGTATCCAACACGCGATGGATTTCGAGAAAAGTCTTTTGACTTGAAATATTACCACTGCCATTCGGTCAAGAAGTTTTATCAAATAAAGAATGACGACCACAACATGATTTCTTTATCAAGTTTTGGGTTTGCTCTATTTTTGATTTGGGTTATTTTCGAAAAAATCAATATTGGTGAATAGAAGGTTTTTGACACTATTAATTTTGTAATACTGATAGAGTAGACATACGTTTTCTTGTTAACTATTATCAAGAATAGTTTTGTAATCATTAATTTTTGATAGCAAAATCTTATCGTTGTATTTCGTTCATGGACATATGCTTGTTTGTTGAACTGAACCATATAAATTTGTGTGCTCTATTTTTATATTTCATTCCGTTATTATATTGTTTGCGGGCTTGTTTCATAACATCCTCGCACACTTGAAAGTTTCAAACATACGTCTCTCAAGAAGAGTATGATTTTGAAGAAACGTCATTTTTGACGATGTCAAAAAAGTTGAGGAGATCAAAGTTAAAGTTGAAATTGAACTTAAATTTCAAGAGGCTAGAGAGTGATGGAAAAAATGAAGTTGAAGAGGTAACTCAAGAAATGGAAGAAAAAGAAGTTCGTGAAGGTCTTGATTTAAAGGTGAAAGAAATTAATGAATTTGTAAGGAACGACGAAGAAATCAATGATCCTTTTGTGATTAAGGATGTTGTAGAGGGATCTTATAGAAGTATTTTTAAAAAGTCATTTCAAACACAATCTTAGGGGCCTATTTTTTTCTATTAAATTTAAGGTGTTAATATTAACCATTAAATTAACTTTAAAGTAAAATTTAAAGTGATCGCAATTGCGAATAGTAAAAATCATTTTGTTTATTTTTTAGATTTGAATTATAAGTTATTATGTTTTATATATATATATATTATTTTTTTATTATACGACTAATCCGACCGATTAATCTAACAGGTGAACCAGTGAATTATTCTTTCCCACTGATAACATTGCTTCACAGTCCTTCTCATTTTCTACCTCCTCTCCACTTCTGCAGTGGTTTACACAGTGGGTGAGAGTTGCTTGCCATTTGTGTTGGGCCTAATTGCAAATTTTTTGGGTCAAACTACATCTCTTATTATAGGACCATTTTCGGACCCTTTTAAATTGGGGGCCCTTAGCAGCTGCCTCAATGGGCCTTGAATCTCACATATAGTGAGTAATATCGGTTGAAACATACAAGATTTTAGAGATTTTAAAAAATTTTATATTTTATTGAAATATAAAATTAGGTTAAAATGTACTAAAAAAATTATTTTGTATCTTTTTGTTAAGATTTTGTTTCGGCTAAATAAAAATTGAATTTACTATTTCACAATAATTTAGTGTTGATTCTTTTTTTTTTTTATTCTTGAACTGAAATTTTTTGTATTAATTTCAGCTTAATATTTTTTTATATCAGTTATAGTTTGCCTCTATCATAGATATTCATGGCTCCGCCCTTAGCAATATACATTTTTTTTTTAGAATTTTTTATGTTAAATGGACTTCATATATCAAATATAATATAATAAATATAAATATGTTACTTTGTGTGATTGGTTAGAAGAAAAAAAAATTAGAGTGCATAATTAAAGTGTCTATCCTAAACAAAATTCCTGACTCCGCCCCTGCTAATATAACCTAGTAATTATAGCCATATAACCATGCATCATTAACGATAGTTATTTTTGTACACATAGGCACTATTGAACATAAAATGTGGATTTTTCACCCTAACCCTAAAATCCAATTCTGTCTAATACATCTCTTGTCCCTCCAAAATCACATAAAAAGATGGTTACACAAATTACAGAACTTTCTCTAAGTTCCTAGCTACTTCTATTGCCAGTAGAGATCGTCCTCAACATTCATATACTTGGCAGTTTCGATTCAAAGTTATGTCGATATCCTTGGCTATATTCTCTGCATCATTTGAGATTCCGAACAATCCCGCCCTTGAAAATCCTGCACAGTATAGCCCATTTTTTCCTTTCCAATGATCCGGGAATCCTCGTTTGGGCTTGCCATCCTCATTAAAAAGGTCTGCACCATCCTGCTTAAACATTAAAATGTGCTTGTTAAAACCTTTAGATGCTTAGAAAATGTAGTCAAGATGATGAATTTTTTTTTTTTTTTTTTTGTACCTGGAGCCATTTCCTAGCTGTGCTCTTGTAGCCAGTAGCAAAGACGATGGCATCGAGTTGCTTGATCTCACCATTTGTAAATTCAACGTTATCACCTTGGAACTTTGTTATAGATGGAAAAACCTGACAAATACAAAGATCATCGTCATTATAGCCCACAAGAAAAGGTGACAATTGACAACTGAAATAAAGAGTAAACTATTCTGATATTTATATGTTAAACATATTAAGGTATTTATTTATGGTTATCTACCTGAATATCTCCAATCTTAATCTTGTCTACGGTGCCAACATCGATAACTGGAGATCGACCAGTTGTCCTTTTAAGATAGAATGGTCCATTAGTTGGCCTTTGAAGCCCATAATCAGCAAGATCTCCATACCTGAATTTGCCAAGCATTGTAACAATGTTGTCCACTAGATTACAGGGAATGAATTTTAACAAAAACATTCCCAGATGCACCATTTCCTTTGAAAGCACATGCACCTGAAACAAAACACTTTTCATTCAGAAGATGAAGCTAGTGAAAAAAGAAAAAAATCTAAAAGAATTTCATCGCGTGATCTCCTTAACATAAAAATTTTGGAGGTGAAGCAAGACCATCCGACGATACATATAGTAAGGAAACTT